CCAATCTGTAGGTGTGGTGTATTCTGCTTGTTAACTAAAATCTTTTCCTTCTGGTTAAGAATAAACATCTAGCCGTGTTTCTGAATCAAGGTTCCTGTAATGAAGCAGGGTTTTTTTGTTTTTTTATATGTGTATCCTTGCACACATGCGCAAGTGTCTGTAGAAGCTGGATTGAGCCTTGATGGTTTTCTGCTTATATATGGAGATGGGATGGATGAGAGTCTGGTGCTTTGCTTATCTGGGCTTCATTCATGTGCAACACATCCTCAGTTCTGTGGTAATTTATTTTTTGGTTTGGATTTAGTGAACCAGGTTCAGTGCATGAAGACATTTGCCAATAGTTTGCTTGATTTCTGGGAACAGTGGAAGGACAGAACCAATCTGGAAGGTTATTTAACTTCTACATGGGTACACATGCACAAAATACTTAAAATGTGTGACTTGGAAATGTTGGGGGTTTTAAGAGTTGCAAATTTTACAGAGTCCACCACTCTAAAGGTAAATCTGGGTCCTAGCTCCTTCAGAAGTTTGTGGAGATCCTGCCTCAAGGTGGAGCAGGATAGAGCAAGACACCCCACAGTGTGCACAAAAACCAACATAACCCTAGTTTCCTGGGCACATCACTCCTATGGTTTATACTGATAAGATCGTGGTATGTATTACTACATAAACTTTGAACAGTGGCTTACAATCAACATGGGGAAGGGTACCCATATTCTGACTGACACTTTTCTGGGGGGGGGGGGGGCGGTGTTGAGACAGGGTTTCTCTGCATTGTTTTGGAGCCTGTCCTACAACTAGCTCTGTAAACCAGGCCTCAGACTCAGATTTGCCTGCCTCCCAAGTGCTGGCCTGACACTTTGTAATAATTTCTGGTATCCAATTTTGGTTGTGGATGTTTTTGCAGGGTAAGGTGAGTGACCTGGGGGTCACTTCAACCTCAAGAGCCTTCAACTGTTGAATTACACTGGAGCTCTAATGTTAAGAGCACTGGCTGCTCTTTCAGAGGTCCTGAATTCAATTCCCAGCAACCAGTTGGTGGCTCACAACCATCTATAATGAGATCTGGTGCCATCTTCTGGCAGGTAGGCATACTCATCAGTAGGACAATGTATGCATAATAGTCGGATCATCGGTTAAGAGTACTGCCTGTTCTTGCAGAGGAGCAGGGTTGATCCCCAAAACTAACAAAGGCTCCATGGTAAAATAAAAAATTTAATTTGAGGCCAGCTATACTGTAACTCTTTGATCCCAGCACTTGAGAGGCAAGGGCATGTGAATCTCATGATCAAGGTAAACCTTATCTACATTGGTAGTTGCAGGCCAGCAAGAGCTGAATAGTGAGAACCTGTCTCAAAACCACAAGATGGCTCAGTAAAGTTAAATCACAGGACCAACATGGTAGGAAAGAACTGACCTTCACATGTACACTAATGGGGGACACAAGCATGTCCAGGCACATAACATGTACCAACTGCACAATGTAAAAACAAAAAGCCACAGACCTAGCCTTGCCTTGTAATTGCCATCAAGTGGGGAGACAGTCTTAAAGAGACTGAGCCTTTAAATCTGTGGGATTTTATGGTAATTCCAGGTATTGTAAGAAATCACCATTACTGTGTCAGTGAACAAAACTGGGAAACCGCTACATGTCTTACAGTAGTGTAGGTATGCTAGCCAAGTGCTCGGCCACTTGGTGTGCTCTCCAGCCAACTTATTTTTAAATGGGTACTAACATGGATTTCTCTGAAATAGGACACCCCAATACTTCCTAATTATACCAACTGGAAAACACTACACAACTATGAACATTCAAATTTTATGACAGTCTCAAACTTCTACTTCTTGGGATAATCCACCAAGGAATTCTGAAGCTTTGTTTCTTCCACCTTTCCTAGATACAGCACTCACACCTAACTGACAAGGCTCCCTTGATAAGCTACTGCCTGTCAATTACACCAATGATGGGATATGTCCTTCTGCATGCTGTGAATGTTTCCCTTACTGGTTGGTGAATAAATGCTGATTGGCCAGTAGTCAGGCAGGGAGTATAGGTGGGACTACCAGACTAGGAGAAGACTGGGAAGAGGAAGGCAGAGAGGAATTGCCAAAGAGATGCCTTGTAGCTGTCAAAGGGGTACCATGCCAGAGCATTACAGGTAAGCCACAGACTCATGGCAATACATAGTTAAGAAAGAGCCAGTAAGAAGCCCTCGCCATCAGCCAAATGGTTTATAATTAAAATAACCCTGTTTATGTTTATTTGGGACTAAGTGGCCAGGGCAAACTCCACAGGCCAAGAGTTATTAATCCATTATAATTCACATTTTTCTCAAGAAAAAGCCAATTCTAAACTAAGATGTTTTCAGTCAAAAGCATCAGATTTCTCCAGATTGTTTAAACCATGCCCACTGAATATCTATTAATTCCCCCCACCTCCACCCCTTTTAGACAAACCATGTAGGCGACTGGCCTGGACTCAGATACACCTGCCAGATAAAAGCATGTGCTCCATGCTCATGGTATTTCAAACCTTTTTTTTAAATTTTAAATAAAAACAATCTTATTTTACATATTGATCCCAGTCCTACTCCCTCCCATCCTCCTCTAGTGGCCCTCTCCAACCTCTCCCCAGGCATGAGGCCTCCTATAAGGGATCATCAGAGTCTATCACATCATTAGTATTTTAAATCTTAAGGCCTCAGTATTCTGGTTGAATACAAAAAGTATTTCAGGTTGATAAAAGACTATTACTGAACACATGCACACATACACAAATCCTAACAAAAGCAATTAGACTTTTCACATGATTGCTTACTTTACATAGTACCCGAGGAAGAAATTTTACAACACAAATAATTCAGTAACATATACTCAAATATTGGCTTGTTTAATTCATACCACCCAAGTTTCTGGGTTCTGAAAGCAAGACTCCTTGAGTACAGGTGTTGACAAGTGTGGCTGTCTGAATGGGAATGAACCTTAGGACCACACATGAATAGCTGGCCTTAGGATTTGGGTATGCTGGCTATAGGTAGGCTTTGAGGTTTCCAGAGACCATGCCATTTCCAATGTGTCTGCCTCTTGGTTGTCTCAACACGTTAAGCTCTCAGCTACTGCCCCAGTGCCAGTCTACCTGGCACGCTCCAGCCTCAATGGTCTTGGATTCTAAACCTCTGGGACTGACTGTAAACTGATGGGGGATGTCCTTCTGTATATGTTTCTCTTATTCATCAACAAAACACTGGCCAATAGAGGCAGGAAGATAGGCAGGACTAGAGAATTTTGGCCAAGGTAGGCAGAGAAACACCACATATAGACCGGGAAGACAGTACACACCAGGCATTCTTTGGTAAGGACATGTAGAAATACATAATTAGGCTGAGTGGTGGTGGTGGTGCATGCTTTAATCCCAGCACTAGGGAGGCAGAGACAGGCAGATCTCTGAGTTTTGAGACCAGCCTGGTCTACAAGAGCTAGTTCCAGGACAGCCTCCAAAGCCATAGAGAAACCCTATCTCGGAAGGAGAAAAAAAAAAAAAAAAAATAGTAGTTATGGGCTAATAATTAAGAGAGAACTAGCCAATAAGAAGCCCTTGTCATCAGCCAACAGGTCCCCCCCATCTCACCCCACCTCACTCCCACCCCACCTCACTCCCAGCGCTGTCCACACTTTGAAAGGGAAATCTATAGGATTTCTAATAATGTGTACACATTAGAAGGAACTCAGATAATTCAATGACAAATCTACAATCAGGTTGAGGACCTATTCGATGCTGGGCATGGTAAACACATATTTGATCCCAGCACTGAGAAGAGGCAGAGTTCATGCCAGCCAGGACTAGCCTCAAACATACAGCAAGTCTTTATTGCCTCTTCGCCACTGCTAGATTGCAGGTGTGAACCACCTCATCTGACTTCAAGAATTTGCAAAGCCCTACAAAGCCCCAAGGCCAAGGGGGAAAATGCTTTGCCTGGTGCTAAGGTATAGCTCACAACTCGGAGGTGATCCATAGATCATGAATTGTCAACTACATAGGTGGCTAAGGCAGGAGGTGCATACAGCCTGCCTGGGTGACAGAAGTTCAAAGCTACCCTGAGTATCTTAATGAGACCATCTCATGAACATAATGCAAATTCATTCTTAGAGGATATGAAAACTTATTCATTTCATGTATAAAGCACAGACACAGTATATAGTGTATCTATATTAAAATTTATTGGGTGCTATAGGGGGAAAGGGTTCTGGGAAGTTCTGGTAATGGAAAAGCTTGAACACTGCTGTAAGTTAGCCTCTTGGTCACATGCATTTCCCCTCACCATCATTATGCCAAGCAAAATATGTGGCATTTTGGTATCTGGAGATTTTATAAGAACAATTACTTCTAGGACAATAAAATCCTAGTAAGGAGACACTTATTAGTTCTAAACACACAGTATAGTATCCAAGAGACTAAAAGCCTTAGGAAACGGACACCAAGTTAGTAAGTCAACTCACAGCTGTCCACCATGATTAAAAGCAGTTTTAACATGTCTAGTAGGAGGAATTACATATTGGAAGCCAGTTTGGCATTTAAATTCAAAATGAGAATTATTTTATAAATCGCTCCCTTTTACATTATATTCACAGGTGCCTTACCCATGTACTATTATAATAAGTAAACACTACTGTGTATGAAAGGAAAAAAATCTATGATCAAAGATCATAATGTAGTTCTGGAAGACTCCACACTTTCACTATACACAGTATATAATAAACAGGGTGCGTTTCGAACGGCGTTAACATGCAAGGATCTGGTTGTAGAAATGGCAATGTAGTTTCAGCTACATTGGGATCTGTGAGGTGTTTAGTCTGCGAGGTGGAAGGATGAATTGTTAATGCTTATACAGTAGACACCTGAAAGCACAACATACAGCACACCATTAGGGTCAATGGCATTGGTGGGGATAAAAAAAAAGACTGATCTAGAAAACCTAAATGTAAGGATGGACTTTATTTAAAAAAAAATTTCTTTTTAGGACTACAAATTACAAAGGAAAAGCAGATCACTACACAGAATCTAATGAGTACATTTGCCTGTGCATAAAACTTTATCAAAGTCATTCATTTTACAAATTCACCCCACCCGTCAAATGTTTTTGCTATAATGCTCTCAAGGTTACTATACCTTTATTTCAAATTATATTACATGTTATTCTCTCAAGGTAAGTTATAAATACCAAATTATTGGCTTCTAAGAATGGCACCTTCAAAATGGGCAATTTCCACTCAGTCTCTGGTGGCATTATTCTAGACTATTTTCTTTTACCAATTAAGAAACTTTCAAAATGTTCACTTTTAGCCAAAAAGGTGGCTACCCCCCCCACCAACTACAAATAGACAACAAAAAGAAAAGCAATGAAAAAGGCAGCCATTAAAATAAATGTATTAATCATTTAAAGAAAGTATTTGGCTCATGGCAATAAAAAAGAAAAGAAAAAATGGCAACTAGGTAGGGTATGTTACTAGGTATTTGAACATAGTAAAATGAAGCCAGGCCCATATAAACAAGTGGGAGACGGCTATGACTGCCCGTCACCTGCACAACAGGAAATGGAGTCGTGTTTAGATACGATTAGAACATGCTCATCCGAAACACTCCCAACAATCTCACGGGTTAGTGACTGACAATCCTTTGGGAACCCTTTCCTCAACCATCTAGCTGTGTCCTGAGTAGAATGTTTGTATGAAGAGTATCTACTTTACCCACCTGGAAAGATACAAATGAACACACAACTTCCTAGGAATAAGCTCAGCTTTCTTCTTCCTACCTCTGCCATGTGTGAGTTCTTGAACAAGTTTGCTCTCCAGAGAGCAAACAACATCTGGGGTTAAAAATACAATAAAATGCTCACATATAACCAATTGTCCAAATACTTCCGAATTCATGTTATAGATTCAATTGTCTACAGGATTTTCACTGATGAACAGGGTTCTAGACATACTAAATTATCACACAAATCATTGCCTTTTGAGATTTTGGACACTTTTACAGTTTAATTTGCAAACAGAATTTTTTTTTGTAACAAATTATTTTTAACCAAATCATATCTTGAAAACTGTTTATATAGAAAATCCAGGGAATAAAGTGAACTGCTCGTTGCGGGAGGCCTTACATCACATTATTACAGTAGAAAATACAGGAGGTAGAAGGTAACTGACAAACCAATGCAACATCAGATTCAGTTCTACAGCCCCTGCAGCTCCTTACACATGGCTTCAGAAACCAAACCCACCGTTTCCAGGAACCATAAAAACAGTTAAAATAAAAATTGCCATGAAAGCCCTTATATCATGCTTGATATAGGGAGGTAGGAAGATGTAAGAACCAGGACACATGAGACATGACATTTTATCTACAACTCCTGTTTGCTTTACTGAGGATGTTGTTTCAAAATTCAGTCACCTTCTTCACCTTCAGACTCCGATTCTAGGAAAGAGTTTGAAAAATAGTCAAAGGTCATTTCAGGAAGCTAGTTTCCATTATTTGAAATTATATACTAATATCAATTGAAAACAACTACACATTTGCAAATTTGGAAAATTTCAATTTTCCTACTGTGTATGTAGTGTAAGACCCCACCCATAATGGGGCCGGAAAGCCCACAGCAAGATCATGGTTAGTCCACAGTAAGCCCATGGTAAAATCTAACCCTTGTTTGATCCCTGTTAAAAGGAAAGTTGTTCCCACATGTGGAGCTCAAACCCACACACATACAGTAAACCAATTTCCAGTGGGTGAACTATACTATACCTACAATTCTAGCAGAGGCAAGGGTTCAAAGCCATTTAGGGCTACACCATCAAATCTTGCCTTACAAAAAAAAAAAAAAAAAAAAAAAAAAACAAAAACCACAAATGTAACAACCCCAATTTCCATGCAATCTACAGAGAACTTACCCTCTTCAGCATTTTTGAGCCATTCTACAAACTTCTTCATCTGCTCAAGGAAGACACTTTTCCCTTTTGCAACATGTGCATCTTTATACCACTTCAGAATGGGCTCTTCACTCAAGACTTCAGCTACAAACAATGTCATTTATATTAGAAATTTGAACATAATCTTTCTACTACACAAGGTACAAATAAATATCTACTTGGCACTTGAGTTTGTTCTGTGGGGATAAGGGTGGGGGTGGGAGAGATAGATTCTCACTTGTGGATTTAATTAATTCGTAAACAAGCTCCACAGATGTTCTTCTAATAGCAATATACTAAGTAAAAACACCCAATTCTGCCAGGTGTGGGGAAGCACACCTTTGATGCCAGCACTATACTTGTGAGGCAGAGGCAGGTGAACCTATCTGTAAGTGCCAGGCCAGTCAACGTAACAGTGAGAGCATGCCTCAAACACAAACAGAATCAACACAACCCTGAATTTAAGCAGTGAGTTTTACTTTGTGACTATGGGTGCTCATGTCCAGACACTCCTTACTTCACAAGACTGAAGATTTACCTTTATAAAAAAGCACCACTATTTTCTGGAAGGCTTTCATGAAGTGAATGTTGTCATAGCAGTACTCCTGAATCTTCAGTAACAGAGTCAGCTCAGACTGACCCTGGGTAGTAAAGGCAGCGAGCAGAGGGCTGTATTGCTTTTAAAAGAACAAATGGCGTACTTATTACAATGGTCATCCTCTACAAGATTCTCACAATACAGAAGGTATTCGTTACCATAGTGAATTATCATCAGTTCATTGGAAATCAGGAATAAAAACAGTAAAGCAGAAAAATCTACTAAGCTCTGTATGTCAGTGGGGTAAGGAAAAAAAAAAAAACACCTCCCATTTTCCCTCAGCAGTACCAAATCTAAGGCTTAAATTACTTTTAAACATTATTTTTAATTTATGAACCAGATAAAGCCAAGTCAGTCTTAAAAGCATTATCAACACTAATTTCTGCATACTGGTAGATTATCCCCAACATCAAAAATGTGTAAAGATTATCCCCAGCATCAAAAATGTGGTAAATCCTTTAAGCCAGTGGTTTTCAACCCTCCTAATTCTGTGACCATATAATACAGTTCCCTGTGCTGTGGTGACCCCCAACCATAAAACTATTTGTTACTACTTAATAACTGTAATTTTGCTACTGTTATGAATTGTAATGTAAACATCTGTGTTTTCTGATCATCTTAGGTGACCCTTGGGTCAGGATCCACAGATTTGAGAACTGTCTTAGACAAACACCCACTGACAGTCCATCGGTCCCACCTGAAGTTGACAGTATGCTCTACCAAGGAACAACCCCAATACCTTCAAGTGCTTGATGGCTTGTTCTGCTACAAGCTCCTCCTTTTTGTTCCATTCTACAGTGCTCATCACGCTTGACCAGACTATCCCAATGACAACTGGCTCTGGGATATTATTTTTTTTCATCTCCTCCTTGACATACAAAATTATCTGCAAAATAATCCAAATTCAGTAACAGAAGCTATTTTTATTATAAACATACTTTACACATCAAACTAGACATTTTGTAAAAATTAAACACCAAATTTAGACATTTTACAAAAGCATAAAAAGCCTTTTCAGGGGCTGGAGAAATGGTTCAGTGATTAAGATCACTTGCTGTTCTGCCAGAGGACCCAGGTTCAATCTCCAGCACTCACAGCCAAAACACCAATGCACATAAAATAAAAGTAAGTAAGATAAAAAATTTAAAAGCCTTTCCAGCCAGGCATCATGGTGCAGCTTTAACCCCGGCACTCGTGAGGCAGAGGCAGGTGACCTGTGAATTTGAGGCCACCGTGGTGTATATATAAAGAGGTTCCAGGCTAGTCAGATATGAATGGTGAGCCCATGCCTAAAATAAATAAGCAAGCAAGCAAGCAAAGCCTTTCCATGAAACTGGCAACAAATTCCAACTGTACTACATATAAGCAGAAAACCATTGTCACGGAACAGAACCTTGAGATTTAATATACAAACTTGGGCAGGTAAAATGGCTCAGCAAGCAAACAGATTTAGGTACCTGCAACCAAGCCTGACACCCAAGATTGATTCCCCAGCCCCACATGGTGGGAGATCTGTGTAAAAATGCCCATTCTCTATCTCCAAATAAATGTAAAAACAATTACCACCACAACAAAACTGGCTCAACATGAAAAATGTCTACCCCTAGCCTATACACTACAAAATCTCCAAAGTTATTATCCTGGGCAATGAGTAAAACAAACTGTAACTCCAGTTCCAAGGGCAATGAGCCCTCCTGTTCTGACCCACTCAAGTACCAGGTACTCACATAAGTGGCACACAGGCATGTATGCAAGTGAAAGACATGCATTAAAGAAAGGATAGTTTACACAGAGCAGCTTACGTCCTTGAAGGGATCCCCGCGAGACATCTGCTCCTGAAGCTCCTTCTGGAGTTCCTTCCGCGCCCCGATGGTCTGCTGGTTGCGGACATACTCTGAAAGCTCTTTCAAGCCTGCCTCAGTGAAATACTTGGTGAAGTGCTCCACACTTTGCTTATTGGCAGGGAACAGCTCCATCAGTCTGTTGTCCATGCTGACTTTCCGGAGACTTGCAGCCACTGCATTGATGTCTTTTTCATTTATCCATGATTTAAAGAGCTTTACAGCAAATGCTGCTGAAACCCCTGTAAAAGAAATAAGCTACGCTTATCTAACAGAAGTACCTACCTCAAGTGCAGCCAAACTCTACATCCCTGTGCCAATGTGACCATTTCACTGCAAGCCCTAGTCTGTCACTTGCTAATCTTATTACTGATCCAGTCACAATTGAGAATTTATGTGCTAACCAGTGCTATTCTAAGTATTAAAGAGACCACATATTCCCAACAAGGTAGGCATTTAAGAAAATTGCAGGGGTTGGGGGCTAAGGCTCAGTTGGGAGAGTATTTGCCTTAACTACTGGATTCCCCCAGTTGACAAGAGTCTGAGTTCCCATGGATTTCTCATTTTAGGACATATAATCACACGTGCTTCAACCTGGATATGTGTTGTACTCTAAAGACATACCCCAAACTTGGATGCTAAAGGTATAAATCAAGTGCTCACTACATTGGAATGCTTAAAAAAATTTTTTTTTTCTTTTAAAGGGGCTGGATAGATGGCCGATTAGGTCAATGGTTAAGAGGACCTGAGTTCGGATCCCAGCACCTACATAGTTTTTAGTCACTCTAGTTCCTGTAAACCCAACTTTCTCTTGTGGCTATCCAGGATTCCTGCATGCATGTGGTGTGCATAAACTCACACTTAGGTAAATATTAAAAAAAAAAAAAAAAAAAAAAAAAAATTGAGACAGTTTTGTTTATTATGATACCAAATTCCAAATCTTCCCACCCCAGCCTCCAAAATTATGGAATTCAAGTTTGTACAACAATGCCTGGTTCTGAGAACTCAATAGAGGGTCATAGGTACCTGGGAGATACTTAAGTTCTAATTACCTTCTTTAACCAAATTCTCATTATAAAGGCTGTTAAGAATGGATGCATTAAGTGTTCCATTAGCCAGAAGAACCCCAGTCAACATAGCGAGCTTGTTCCTCTCCGACTCTGAAAATCCCTTTAGGAAAAGCAATAACTGTAAAAGTAAAAAATTAGGGTTAAAAACAGCATTTGCATTGTTATGCTAAAAGCAAATAAAGCAAACCACATTCAGCTGAGGTCCAAACATTCATGTTTTTATCTCCACCCTAAGACTCATTAACCCAGTGGTCTTGGGCAAATTACTTCATGCCTGTATCTTGGTTTCATTACATATTAAATATGAACAATAAAACTCACCCTACGATGTTTTTATTTATACGGAAGAATTAGAACAGAGCCTGATATTCAATATTCAATTTTGTCAGACTTCTACTTTTGCTGCTGCACCCATTTATGAGTATTTAGCATCAGGACTCAAATACAAGTAATCTCTCAGGCATTTTATGCTCTGGCCCTTTCTCCTTCCAAACAATCCTTGTATTTAAACTGCCATCTGTTTCAACACAACACTGACAATGTGTGAGTTTCAAGTATTTCATTCAGCAAACTAATGGACATACTCCCCAAACTATACTTCAATAGTAGCCTCCACAAACATCTAAAACAACATTCAAGAAGTGGCTGAATTGGAACTTAACATTTCCCTATCTGCTCCTTTCCCTATCTACTCTGGGGCCAGAGACCAAATGCTTGGTTTTACACATGCTAAGTACATGCCATATCAAACTTTCTCATACCTTTTTAACTTCATCTTCAAAACCTTTCTCCAGGTATTTGTAGCGCCTTATTAACTTGTTAAAAACCTAGAAGAAGATCAAAGTCATTTCTAGAACCAAAAAAGAAGACTCTCCACTGGATAATCTCACCAGGTACTGAAACTATGAACATTTAATAGCCACTTCTCAATAACTTTATTACTTTATGTTAGACTAATTAGTTACTGTTCAAGTAACAGTAAGATCCTAGAACACAGCTCTATTTTTCCTAGACACAGACATCAAATCCCAGGTTAGGTACATTAAATTCTTTGCTTACAAGAAGTACAAATTTAACTATGAAGATGAATAGGGTAACAGAGTTTTCAGCAATGGGAAGGCTGAGTCATGAGGGTTACTTAAGTTCAAGCCTAGGTTGGGCTATAAAGTGGCATTTCAGGCCAGCCTCAATCAATAAACTTTTTCTTCAGAATGAAAATATCTACAGAATGGCTCAATATGACAATCTCAATAGAAAACTAACTTTTCTGTTCACCTTAGCTTTTTTTGGCCAGTCTCCCTGTAAGGAGCCCAAGTCAAGTCTGCCTCAACTCAGATTTTCTAGCCTTAGTTTCCTGAGTATATGGTATTACAGGCATGAATTACTACATCCACTTAGTATCTTCCTTGTGTGGTGGGATAGGGAACTCAAGCAGACATTCATGTAGTGTCTAGGCTGGCAGTGAATATAGAGTGTACCTGAGGATGACCCTGAATTCCCCATCTCCCTGCCTCAATTTCTTAAGTGCTAGGGTTATAGGAATATGACACCCCCACCCCTTTTTGAGAACAGAGTTTCTCTGTGTAGTCCTGGCTGTCCTAGAACTTGCTCTGTTGACTAGCTGACCTCAAACTCAGAGATATGTCTGCCTCTGTCTCTAGAGTGTTAGAATTAAAGGTGTGCGCCACTGCCCATCTGCATATTGCCTTTGTTAAAGAGAATTAATTCCAGAGAAACTCGGTGGTTAAGAGTATCGACTGCTGTTTCAGAAATTTGGTTCCCAGAACTAACAATGGACAAGCTCACAACTGCCTGTTACTATGGATTCAGAAGATATGATGCCTCTGATTTTCGTGGACACCTGCACTTAGGGGCACACACCCACAATGATTTTTTTCTCCCCCCAAAAGAGAAAAGAGCAAAGGCTGGGCTTGCTGAGGAAGGTAGATCTCTTGAGTTTGATTGCAGCAAAGCCACATACTGAGACATTGTCTCAATAAACAAAAAATCTCCCCCCCAAAACAATCAAACAAGTAGTTTCTAATCTACTATACCTCATCAAGACCTAAACCCTTTAAAAAACTTAAACTTTCTACACGTAACATATATAAAAGCAGAACATCCCTTGGACACTCCCTGATGGATGGTAGGTATGATGGACAATTTTGCTTACCTGAGCAAATGCTTGCATGGTCTCTAGGTCTTCTTGTGCTGCAAACACACAGACATCTGTGCGCATCATGTCATCTGCCAGTGTACCCCCTGGGGCTAAGAAATATTTAATAGTAAATTTGCAGTAACCTCATCTTAAATGGGTGACCATTTCAGCTTTACATACTAATAAGGATTTCCAATGTAAAATAAAATAGTAACAATCTAAGATGAATTAACATCCAATTGGTCAGATGGCTCAGTATGTACAAATAAAATGAATAATTTGCACAGCAATCAAGCAAGCAAGTACCCCTATCCAAAGAGATTCAGGGAGTAAAGGTGCTTGCCATCAAATCTTGGGGAACTTAATATTTACTACATATGCCTACATAGATACAATCATATATAAAATAAGCATAAAAATGTGTAGTGAAATAAACTCAATGAATCAACCATTTAATTAGTGCCAAAGAGGTCAAGTAGGTATTCAGATCTGGTTTTGATTATGTTTACCTTTCCACATAGAAAGTGACTCCTTTAAATTCCCAAGGAGACTGTACTGTACCTTTAAGGAAGGATCTTGCCACTTAGCCCAGGCTTGCCAGGGACTCATAATTCTCCTGAATACATGGATTACTGATATGCCACCACAGCTGGCTCAAAATCCCATTTTTCATATTATACCATATGAAGAAGGCAAGTTAAAACAAGAGAAATTCCCTATTCAAGTCTAGCCTGAGCTACATCCAAGTGAAACCTTATCTTAAAGAAAGTTGTTGGGTATATAAAACCTGCAGGGTACAGACCAAGTACAACTGTTAATAAACATTACAGTTGTACAATAAATCTGATATTCTCTTTACTATCTTTGAAAGTTTCTTGCCTGTTGTGGTGGCCCAAGTCTCTAATCCTAGTACTTGGAAGTTACAAGAATCCTCAGCAATGTATCAAGTTCAAGGCCAGTCAGGGCTATATAAATGAGAACATAGCCCCAAAACAAAGTGGGGGGGGGGAGGAAGTTTAGCAAACCCAATCTACACAGTGACCTCTATAATAGCCAATGTTACATAGGGAAACCATCTCTACACCAGAGCTTGCTCAGTGGTTAAGTGCACCCACATGGCAGCTTGGTTCCTGGGGCTCTGACACTGACATACACACACACACACACACACACACACAAAACACCAATGTACACAAATAAAAATAAATAAAAACAAAAATACAACACAATATAACCAAAATCCATCCCTCTTGTTGGGTTTGTCAAAAGCTCAACATTCTGGCTTTTCCATTATCTCTGTATATTTCACTTCCCTTAATTATACCCACAAAACCCAGATACCTACCCAGCATTCCACCAGCCACCAGAATGTCAAAGAGTGTTTCTGCATAGCGGCGGTAGTCAAGTTTTGCTCCAGAAGCATCAAGAAACTTAGCTACTGCTTCCAAATCAGTACCAGTTTCAGTTAAGCCTTGAATAATACAGTCTTGAAACTGAGTAGGGTCAAACCTCTCTTTTTCATCTGGGGGAGGAAAACAAAAAAGTTATCACAGATGGCACAACCAACACCTTATGAAGCTAAGACCATCTATCTACTGAGCTGGGAAAAGGCAAGTACCCAAGACTTGGCTTGATAGGAGAAAGATTAGACACATCCTAGTGTTCCTCCTGCATGCCCAAGGCAGGATGACCTACCTGGTCAATACCACATGGCTACCCCACTTCTGCAAGCTGAAATGTTAGGGCTTTCTGCTCCCATTATCACTAACCTATTCTAGCCATGGTGGTACAAGCCTTTTATTCCAGCACTGGGAAGGCAGAGGCAGATGGCCTTAAGTTGCAGGCCAGCCCGTTCTACCTTAACATTAACCTTTTTTATGCCGTGTATACTTTATTCCTCTGGAAATTTGCATACCCAAGTTCCCTGTCCCCAGGGTTATAGGTATCTGCCTAAACTTGCACTTCCATGTGCTATAGAACTGAGTATAGACTCCAGTCTTGTATATGCCATGTAAGCACCACTAAGCTACAGTCTAGCCTCAGTTTATTGCACTGATACAGATTGTCTTACTAACTTGTATCCATCTTATTAAGACCAGAGCTCACTGATTTGGCTAGCCTGGTTGGGATCCACTGGTCTCTGCCTCTTCATGCTGAGTCACAGACATGAGCTGCACCTGACTTTTATGTGGGTACCAGGGAACAAATGCAGGTCTTCATGCCTGTGTTGCAAGCACTTTATCCAGTTAGCTCTTTAGTCTCTTTTTTGTTTGTTTTTGAGACAGGGTTTCATTTGCTTCAGGGTGACCTAAAGTTCCTATGGCTTTCAATTTATGATCCTTCAGCTTCCATATCTTCAGCTCTGAAAGAGATCCTAGGGCTCTATACATACTAGACAAGCTCTCTACCAAACTACATCCCCAGTCCTGTTTTGTTTTTCTTTTTTTTTTTTTCTTTTTCCGGAGACAGGGTCTCTACCAGCCCCAGATGTCCAGAGCTCACTATGTATGTAGACTAGGCTGACCTTGAACTCAAGAGACCTATCTGTCTCAATCTTCAGAGTACTAGGACTAAAGGTGTGTGCCACCACTGCCTGGCTTTGTTTTGTGTTTTTTGAGTCAAGGTTTTGCCATGTATGTATGTATGTATGTATGTATGTATGTATGTATGTATGTATGTCCATACTATTTTCCAGAAGGGAAATCAGAGAAATTATATAACCGAAAGACTATATTGGCTTGTAGTTCAGAGCATATGCCTTTAAGTCAAAACACCCGATTGTTGGACTGGGCATGGTGACACACACCTTTAATCCCAGCACTTGGGAGGCAAAGGCAGGATATATGAGCTTGAGGCTACCCTGTTCTACACAGTGAGTTCCAGGATAGCCAGGGCTACAGAGACCCTGCCTCAACAAACAAACAAAACCCATAGGAATGAATCCTGGTTTCTACTATACCCAGTGCATCCATGCTACTAGTCACTTTCTTCTTTTAAATAGTAAACGCCTACATGGATATATGGATATATGTGTACCAAGTGTGTGCCTGGAGTTTGAGGACGCCAGGAGTGGGTACTGTGTCTTTGATACTGGAGTTATAGGCAGATGTGAGCTGCCTGATGTAGATGCTAGAACTCAAGGCCAGATACCCTGCAAAAACACCAAGTGCTCTTACTTGCTTAAGCATTTCTTCTAGGCCCAAATGAGCCATTTTCTACAAATCTTGCAAAATAACATGTACCTCATAAGTTTCTGTGGTTACTAAATAATACAAGGCAGAACCACACAGGCTTTACTGAATTATCAAACCCTCACATTCTCCAGGGCCTCACATGATAGGCAAGTGCTCTGCAACTGATGTGCACCACAGCCCTTTGGTGTCTTTGTCAATTTATGATAGATGACTATAGCTGAGGATACACAATACCTTTTTTTAAAAAACATACTAATAGAGAAATTATTTTTTCAAAGATCTTATTTTACTAAAAGTCCTATCTTCAAAACTCCCTTAGGCCAAGGCAAACACAGATTATACTCTGAACTAGGAGGCCATAAGAGATCCTTTCTTTTGTTTGTTTTTACTTTTTTGGGGAGGAAGGGGCACTTAAAGACAGGGCTTTTTGTAGCCTAGGTTGGTCTTGTGCCTCAGTCTTATAGGCACTCCATTATAGTCAAATGCTACACTATACCAAGCATGATTTAAGGAAGTGACACTTCCCAGATGCTAATAATAAAAGTTATTTGTTACTATCAATTATATCAAGATGATGCCAAGAATCCATGAACACTGAAAATACCTACTTTTCTTCATTATTGAGAAATTAGTTTAAGAACATTTATTGATGCCAGGCATTGGTGGCACACACCTTTAGTCCCAGCACTTGGGAGGTAGATAGAGGCAGGGGGATCTCTGTGAGTTCGAGGCCAGCCTGGTCTAAAGAGTTCCAGGACAGGCTCCAAAGCAATAAAGAAACCCTGTCTCAAAAAACAAACAACAAAACACATTTACTGGCTAAATCTATACCTACAATGATATAGAACTACCTCTGAAAGGTAGAAAACCAGAAACAATCGGAAGACCAATAGCCAGCCCAATCTCTATTTTCTCCAAACTACTCCACAGGTTAATGTGTGTTTCAGACAGTCTCACCACATAGCCCTAGCTGGTCTAGAACTCACTAAATAGACCTCTATTTACTGACCTCTCCACTGCTAAAATTAAAGACATATGCTACCATGCCTAGCCAATGTGTGTTCTCAAAGAATACCACTTAAACTTTTTGTTTGGTTGGTTTTTTGAGACAGGGTTTTCCGTGTAACCCTGGCAGTCATGAACCAGGTGTCTTTGAACTCAAGAGATTTGCTTGCCTCTGCCTCCCAAGTGCTGGAATTAAAGACAAGAGTCCTAGGTTCAATCCCCCAAACTGGATTGCCAGTAGGAGCTCACGCCTTTAATCCCAACACTTGGAGGGCACTGGATGCCAGACTGAGCTACAATATGACAACCTTAAAAAAAAAAAAAAAAAAAAAACACAAGTGTGAACCATATTCTACAACTTCATAAAATCTGATTTTTCTCCCACACATCTTTTCCAAGACCTAGAGCATGTTAGACATCCCATCAATTAGCTCCCCTTTCATATATCTCCATAAAATCTTGGTGAAACTAGTGATTTTAGGAGTGTCCTCCATTGTTTTAGCCTTGATTCAAACTCTGGTACATGCCTTTAATCCCAGGAGACAGAGGCAGGCAGACCTCTGAGAGTTCAAAGCCAGCCTAGTTTACAAAATGAGTTCCAGGACAGCCAGAGTTGTTACTCAGAGAAATCCTATCTTAAGCAAACAAACAAGAACCCTATCATCTTAAAACCAGATTTTACTTTAGCCATTACTTTTCACATTAGAAGGAATACTGATACTTAAAAAGTGAAGACTTGAGAAACAATAGAAACAAGTTGTGTTATCTGAAAGAGCAGTCAACTAGAAACTCAAGTTTCTTGTTATTTTCTTTTGAGGGTTTAGTAACATGCCGCTGACTGAGAGAAAACAAGATACAAAACGTCTGAAAGCTTAAGAGAGATACAAATATTTACCTCTTTTTCTGGTTTTAAAACGCTGGCCTGATAGCGTTGGTTTTTGCTGCTTTTGATTATTCATAAAAGACACCCTAGAAAAAAGAGAAATAGGGTCTTAAACGCATCTGTGCCTGTAACGTTAACTTCTAAAACAAAGTATCAAACCGTAAGTCAAAATCACAGCCAATTCAAACCCAGCACACTTTCAGTTCACACGCAACAGAGCCAGTGCAGGAAAAGCGTCCCTCTATAAGAACCCCTTATACGAAGCCCTGGGACCACACCTTGACATGACATTACACTGTCACCCTGTATGGTGGCAAACTCGACTACACAAGCCTAAATAGCTCAGTCTCTTCTACACTGCCCTTTGCATCGCCCACTTTTTCTAAGTAACCAGAACTCGGGGGACTATCACGACCGCCACGAGCTATGTGTCAAAGGGAATCCCTCCTGAACAGCAGCAGCGCCGCCCTCACTCCAAAGTGGCGCCTGAGCTTGCACCCTTCCAAGCTGCAAAACCCAGAGCTGGCCGCGAACGCTACAGCCCAGGCCGCCGCCTCCTCCCCGGGCACGTGTCTCCGCATCCACACCCTTCCCCGTGCCTCCCGCCTCGGAGCGCCCGGCTGACGGGCCCAGCGCGCCCTGGGTCCTTCTCCACTGACCCTGTCGCCTGCGGTGGTGGCCGCCGCGCCGAGCGGACCACAGGCGCCGAGGCGCTGCGCGCCGGGGCCCCCGCCGCCCCGTACATCCGCCCGCCCTCCCGCGAAAGCAGCGGCGGAGGCGGCGGCCGCGGCGGTGGTGGCGGCGGCTGCGCCCCGCCCGCCGAACCCCCCACGCGTACATCACCCAACAGAGGCCGCGGCGGCTTTGTTACCCAGGCCGGCGGGGCGCACACGGGGCGCGCCGCCACCCCGGCGCCCCGCGGCCTCGCTCGCCCGCCCCAGCGGCGGCCCCGGCCACGAATCCAGGCCCCGGGCCCCGCCGGCCTCGCCGAACCGCGCCGCCACCCTCGCCCTCCGCCGGGCCACGGCGCGCCGCCGTCCCCCCAGGCCCTGCGCCGCGCTCGCCTCACCGAATTTAAGGCGAAGAGAAAAGAGCCAGAAATCCCCGAGCTGGCGGCAACTGCGGCGCTGTCTCCTCTGCGACCGGAACTAACGCGAGCAGAAGAGGAGGAAGAAGCGCCACCCCCGCCCGGCGGCCTGCTATCGCGAGATTTCTCCCTGCGCCAGTTCGCACCCGGCCTGCCGGGGACGCGGGGTGGTAGCCCGGGGCACCGACGGCCCCGGCGCGGGTAGGACTCTTTAAGCCGCGCCGAAGCCCTGGGCTGCCCGGACCCTCGTGCCAGGGAGACCCATCTGTCTCTCTTCCCGCGCCGCATCCTCCGGCCTCTCCGCTCGGGGCTGGGGTGGAGGGGTGGAGCCGCCCCTCGACCTGGCGCGAGTTGGACCCGTCCGCCCCGTCCGGGGGTGGGGGCGCTGGGCGGCGTGCGTGGAGGCCGGGCCCGCGGGAGGGCTCTGCTGGGCCTCGGCGGGTCCCACCCTGTCTGCCTGGCAGGGGTCGTCTGGACCGTCTGCGGTCCCGCCTGAAGCTGTCTGGGCCTCCTTGCTCTGCAGCGCCAAGGGCCGAGTCTGACCCCTGCCTGCCGCCACGCCTCACAAGCGGTGCTTGTCCCCCGACTGTGCTGGGACTGCGGACTTGTTAAAACACATTGCGACGTCCCCCAAGCCCCCCGACCCCCCCCCCCGCAATTTGTAATTGATTCTGGTGCAGGACCCAAGAATGAGCCTTAGTATCAGAGTCTCCGAGACGCAGGTATTGTCAATGCAGGATCCACACTCTGAGAACCTTCAGAAGGTGTACTCTTGGGGACATCACATAAAACTGCACCAGCACCCTGTTTGTGCCCTTTTTGTCTGCTTCCTCGATCTTCTACCGGACAAACCCTGAAATCGGGATTTGACCTTAAAATCACCTTCCCGTCCCAACCTTTCTTACCATACATACCGGTAAAAACCAGTGTTATTTGTTAATCGCCTTCCTAATGCTCTGACCGCTGCTTCACTTACAGACTTAAATGGACAATTACTTTAGAGTTGTTTCCTGAAGTTATAGGAAAAATCCAGGCATTCTTAGTCTTTGCCCTCATTGCCTTGCAATATTTAGTGTATTCCAGGCCTTCTTAGAACCTTGCAATACCCTGCGTTTCTGCCAACCACCGTTCCTGTGCCCACTCCTTCAATCTTCCTTACTCATACATATAAGGTGCCTATGTTCTTGGGGACTTAACGTTTACAGCATTTAAAGGGGTTTCGGATTAACCTGCTATTCGTTGGATCTAGCTCTATTCCTCTCCAAAATGAAGGAACAGAGGAAGAACCTGACCTCTTGGAGGTGCTGCTGCAGGTAGCCAGTGGGACTGAACTTTGATGGGACCTAGGAAGGATGTGGAGCATAGGTGGAAAGGGATGGGAATCAGGGCTCTAAGTCTCCAACCAACAGTTCTCTGGCATGTCTCTTGAAGTATCATTTCATACTCTGTGTCATAGACTACTATTTCCCCATATTATTTTTGTTTCTGATTTGTTAATGGTACAATATTTCACTAATTAAAAAGCTGTGTATGTTGTGTGTGCAACATTCTTCTAAAGCACTTTATTCGGTGCGTTGAATCCTTGAAACTGCCTTATGACCTTGACACTATTATTACTCTTACATTGTTGGGAAAAGAAGGCACCAAGGTCACTTAACTTGCCCAAGGTCATATAAAGCTAGCTCCTAGTGGAAAAACTAGCTCAGTTGTAACCCGGCAGTCTGGCTCCACCAGTATAATGAATGAAGTACCAGGTTAAACTAGAGCTAGAGCCAGAGATGACAAGTTAGGCAGACCCATATCATATTGATGCACATTTGCCAGATCACACCCTGTCTTTGTCTTTTTTAACATAACTTTGGGGGGGGGGGAGAATGGTTTTTTTGAGACAGGGTTTCTCTGTATTGCTTTGGAGCCTGTCCTGGTACTAGCTCTGTAGATCAGGCTGGCCTCGAACTCACAGAGATCCACCCACCTGCCTCCAGTTGTGCTGCACCAACACCTGGCAAACTTATTTATTTTTATTTTGTGTGCATTGGTAGTCTGCTTACATGTATGTCTATGTGATGGTGTAGGATCCTGGAGTCACAGACAGTTGTGAGCTGCTATGTGGGTGCTGGGACTTGAACCCAGGTCCTCTGAAAGATCAGTCAGTGCTCTTAACCGCTGAGCCATCTCTCCAGTTCCCCTGTCTTTGTATTTTTAAGTCAGGGTCTTGATATATTGCCAAGGCTGACCTTGATCTAGCAATCCTCCTACATCAGCTTTCCAGGTGCTTGGCCTAGTTGATTTATGTTTCTGTTCCCCTAATGAAATGAGGCTTCCTCATAGTACTCTTTCTTTATACTTCCAGGTAATTTTCCTAAATGTAGTCCACATTCTTTCTCATCAGTGTTTAAATGCCTTCATGCAAAACCACAGGAATACCATTTTTCCACCTTTACTTCCAATACCATTGATGGAGTTTTATTGACGCCTTACTCCATCTCAGGCAGTGAACAGTCCTTGGTGAAAACTCATACTAAAGTTTAAAGAGTTATGACCATTAAAAATTGAAGTATGGCTTAGGGGGGTGACTGTGTGGGTAAAATGTTTTCCACATAGTATGAAGACTAAAATTCAAATTTTCAGAACCCACATAGAAGTTGGGTGTTCATGGCAGTCCACCTGTAACCCCAGTGCAGGGCAAGTGGAAGAAAGTTCATGGACCAGGGTGGCCAGCCAGACAAGGCATGAATTCAAGCTCCATGTTCAATTGAGAGGCTCTGCTTTGCCAAGTGTGATAATACACTCCCTTAATCCCAGCACTCAGAGGCAGAGGCAGGTGGTAGCCTTTGAGGTCCAGGGCAGCCTGATCTACATGGTGAGTTTCAGCCAGCCAGAATTACACAATGAGACCCTGTGCCCTGTCCGGAGTAAGAGAGATTGAGACATCTCAGAAAATAAGGTAGAAGACCAGGAAAATCCATCCAGCGATCCACACTCACATACATACATACACTCAGGAAGATATATATACATGTACATATGCAAAACACTAAAACATATCCAAATATTCCCTATTACAGAAACAATCTTGTATCCTGATTCATATTCTTGGGTGGGAGGGGATTGGGTAGGAATGGTAGGCTAGTGTGGGGAATATTGTTTATAACTATATTCTGGTAGAAAATCTTACTAGACAACTCAACTCCTTGCAGCTGTCTGTCAGACAGGACACATTGTGTCTCCTCTTGATACTTTCCTCAGATTCTGTCAAAATCCTTCCCACTGTATCTAGCTTACCTTAGCTACTGCTTTTCCCAAACCTTCCTTCCTGAGTGGTGCATCTAATGTGAATGCAATTTTTTTTTTTTTTTTGAAATAGGGTTTTTCTGTAGCTTTGGAGCCTGTCCTGGAACTTGCTCTGTAGACCAGGCTGGCCTAGAACTCACAGAGTTCCGCCTGCCTTGGCCTCCTGAGTGCTGAGATTAAAGGCTCATTTCTTGTTTTCTAAGACTTCTTTATAAGTTTTACTTTGTCTCTGCTATTTCGGCTATGTGTGTAATGGGCTTTCCTCTGAAACCAACAGTCTTGATGGTAATGACTCATTTTAGTGCTGCCTCAGTGGACAGCAGGCAGCACCTCTGGAGACACAGTCAATCTGTAACACCAGTACCTTTGTTACAACCACGGACTTTACCCTGGGGAGAAAGAAGGTAACAAAGAAGTCTAAGGGGGAGCTAACTTTCTCATAGGAGAGCTTGAAAACAGACATGTAAAGAAAGATCTAGAGCTGCTGAGGTGGCCCACCTGGTAAAGGCACTGCCACCAAGGCTGACCTGAATTCCACCCCAAGAACCCACATGCTGGAAAGAGCACCAGAAGTTGCTTTCTGACCTCCACATGCACACTGGCCAGTGTATGCGATACACACAATGCACCAAATTACAAAAACAGCAATGTACCAAAACAAACAAACAAAAAGTGTAACATTTAACCTTACCTATTCCAGCATGAAAATGCAGTTTCTGGTAAAATACTAGCCACATTCGTAACTATCTTACAGTGTGACTGGAAATTTTAGGGAGTCCCACTACGGGTACCATATGTTAACAGGAAAACTGGGGTCCCCTCTTTGGGTTCTTAGTGTCTGTAATAAAAACTGAAAAATGAAGCTTGGGGACAGTTTTATTAGAGATTGAGAGAGAACAACAGTCAGCTGCAGGGAGGAGAAAGATGAGGCAGAGAGGGCCATGCCTTTTGATGAGGCCAACATGCTCAGCAGCAGAGACTGGCATGATGAAAGAAGCAGGCTAGCTTAGAGCTACACAGTAGTGGCTTCTCTGTAAAGGGTACCTGGGAAGGAAAAGACACTGTCTCACTAAAATGGTAACTATTTTTGACATCTCCTTAGTATGGCTGCCTTCCTGAAGGAGTCTGGGTGATTGACAGGCCCAGCTGGATTGACTCTTTGTTTGCTTATTTGTTTTTATTTTATTTATTTATTTTGTTTCTGTTTTGGAGGTGGGGGCATTCAAGACAGGGTTTCTCTGTGTAGTTTTGGAGCCTGTCCTGGAACTTCCTCTGTAGACCAAGCTGGCTTTGAACTCACAGAGATCTGCTTGTTTCTGCCTCCTGGGTCCTGGGATTAAAGGCGTAGACTGTGCCACCACCACCTGACGCTTATTTGTTTTTTTAGGACAAGATCTCTCTGTGTGGCCCTGACTACCCGGGAACTGACTCTGTAGACTAGGCTGGCCTTGAACTCATAGAGATCTGCCTGCCTCTGTGCTAGGATTAAAGGCATGTGCTACCACCACTGCCAGCACTCTGGATTAATTTTTAAGATAGGAGATAATGGTTTGTTTTGTTCACACTAAGGACCAGAAGTAGATTATATTCTTTTGATCAGGCCAGAGGTACCTTTCTCTTTTGGATATAGGGGAATAGATTTTTCTGTTTTCTTTTTTCCTTACTCCCTTTTCTTTGCCTTCTCTTTTCTTTTGTGATAGGGTAGCACTGTGTAGCTCTAGCTGACCTGGAATTCACCATTTAGTAGTGATTAGGCTGCTTTTGAACTCACAGAACTAACTCTACCTGTCTCTACTTCCCCCAAGTAGTAGGATTAAAAGTGAGTGATATCACATCCAACATTTTTGTTTT